AGAGTGGGGTAGCTGCGACTCAGAGGGTAAGAGCTGGCCTTGAAGGGTGTCTTCAGATTAAAGACATTAAATACATCAGGAATAAGAGCCAACTGTTTCCTGTGGAAGGGAATAAACCATAAGACAAGAGCATCGACATCGCCAAGAGAACAAAGTGTCGGTCGTACCTCTCTGATTGAGCATAAGCGATGTGACATTTTTAAAGTGCCATATTTTGTGCAGTCAGGCCTGCACAAATCTCCCTGTATCCTAACTGGTTGTCAGGTGGCACACATGCAAACAAGGCACCTGTGTTGTTTGGGTAACAAAACTGAGCGTGAGGCTGAGAAGGCCAAGCACTGTGGAAATCATTAAGGTCCCAGAGAACACTAGTTGTGAAAGATGTTAAGTGGGTGGGGTTATTTACCACTGGGGAGAAAAAAAAACAGGGGATGACTTCACTGTGGTTTTCATGCCGGGAAGGTGAGCAGCTGTTCTCCTCTACGTCCTGGACAAAAGAAAGGCGGTTTGAATTTCTGCAAGGAAGACAGACAACGACCACCAGAGCAGCAGGGAGGTTACAGAATCCCTTGCTGAGGAGCTGCAGCCACAGCCACAGCCACGTGAACGCAAGCACAGCCTGTCTTGAGCCCTTGAAGGGATCCTGCTGTGTGATCTCAGCCTTGCTTCGTCCTCAAGTTCTAAAACCTGAACCAAAACCAAACACTTACAGCCAAGCTTTCTTCGGCCAACTTTCAGCCTTGGGTCAGGAGGAGTGGACACCCATGGGGACACCTGGTATCTCAGCAACAGGAAAAGCTTTTCTCCCTACGTCCTAACTCTGGAAGGCTCAGTCCCAGACTACAGTCAAAGGAGGAGACCAAAACCCAGGGTCAGGGTGCTCTAGGACAGCCTTTGGTGTACTCCCCAAACAGAATTCTCCAATTATACTTGGAATAAGCTCAGAATTGGCCCCCACATAAAAACATAAAAACATGATTACAGTTAGAGCTAAACTATAAATACGGCCCTAAATTCCGGGGGTCGGGGGTAAATGCAACTGTTGCTGCTTTTTTTTTTTTTTTTTTTAACGTGGGACAATATAAATCTGAATATGAAATTAACAACTGCCAAGTGGTAGTGGTGCTGCACGCCTTTAATCCCATCACTCTGGAGGCAGAGGCAGGTTTATCTCAGAGTACTAGGCTAGCCTGGTCTACAGAGCAAGTTCCAGGACAGCCTGGCTACCCTCAAAAACAACCAACAACCACAAAAACAAAAAAATAAAACAAACAACAAAAAACCAAAACAGAAACAGCTGAACTGCCTTTCTCTTGACATATTATGAAATATAAAGACACCACCAAAATGTTTAAAAGATTCTGAATTCAGTATTCAGAATCATACTGAGGCTGTGGGTCATGGTGCATGCCAAAGTGAAGCATCAGGAGTTCAAGGCCAGCCTGGGCTACAGGAGGCCCTGTTTTAAGAAGCAAAATCATCAGGATGGAATCAGGTGTCTCTGAAAGACACAGCTAGCATCAGCTTTTTCCTGGGACCCCAGGAATTACTACGCTTGCTTCTCATTTCACATCTTACAAAGTAGAATTCACAATCTGGCAGCCACTGTGCAAAATTAGAGCCATCCACATGTCCTGAATTCACTTTAACAGTTTCCAAAGTTTAAATGCCAATGTTTTGCTTAATATTTTTAAATATATATATATATATATATATATATATATATATATATATATATATATATATACTTAAGTGTATATATATATATATATACACTTAAAAATATATATATACATACACATATATACATGTGTGTGTATATATATACACACACATACACACACAGTGTGTACACGTGAGACACATGACATGGTTATCTGTGAGTTCCACCACCAACATGAGAAAGTTAAAAAGAAAATTACTTTTGGGATAGTATTGCTTCTCTGCTCTCACTGTGGGTTCCAGGGACTAAAGTTTGATTGTTCAACTCTTTCGGGAAATGTTTTTATTTGCTGAGCTGTCTTGCCAGTGCTAGACAGTAACAGCTTAAATATGAGAAATTCTTAGCTTTTCTTGAAAACTGGAACACAGGAAATACTGCATGGAGACACTTACCTGGAATGTTCCCTGCTCCTGAAGGCTGGGCAAGGATGCCTCAGCTTGCTCTGGTCACCTCGTCCTAGTGTGTCTCTGCAAGGTGGTGTATTGCTACTGTTTTCCTTATGCCTCAGTAAGAAAACACGAACTCTGCCAACTATCAGCAGCCATCCCCAACAATGGAATTAAAAAAAAAAAAAAAAAACTACAAACAAAACAAAACAAAAAAACTAGAAACCTTTATTTTGGCAGTGCCTACCTTTTCCCAATAAAGGCAAAAAGCTCTCTCTTCTGTTGAGGTAGCTAGGGACTGCATGTTTTCCTTTCTTTCTCTTCCAGGAATAAATAGCTTCCCCATTCCTTCTTAAAAGTGCCCACAATCCTGCAATCCCAGTTTTGTTTCGCTTTAGTTAGTTACATAAAAGTCAGAAGACCTACCTATCACTGGAGGTTGTGAAGAAAATTAGTAAAAAAATCATCCTGTGGCTATGAAACGGACCATCTGGGCCTCAGTCACAGATGACCTTAAATCCCTAACTTCCTGTGTGCTGACTCCAATGACCTCACCATCACTTCCGATGCTTCAAGATTCCGATCTAGGCTGACTTCAGTTAGCATTTGTCTGCCAATCAAAAACTTCAGACCATAATTTTAGGACCCAGTCTCATTTTTGGCTCAAAATACTGTATCATCTGACTGAGTCCAATTTGAAACCCTGGGTCTGAACTAGAATGATTTCTGGTTCTTTCTAGAAATGATGTGCCTCAAAGCCCCAAAGCTCTGGACTCATGTAGCTGGGTGGGGCCCACTCAGGTGGTTCCTGTTACCTGCCACCAACTGCTCAGAGAAGAGCACTGCAGCTAGTTTTCTCTGGGACTCATCTCTCAGTAAATCAGAAACACAGGTCAGCAAGTAGCTCATCCTGGGGCCTTAACTCTGGCCCCTTTCCAGTGGACAGCCTCCTTTTACCAACATACCGCTCAGACCCAACCTCTTGTTGCCCTACACCATCAAAAAGCTCATACACTGTCAAAACCTTTCTCTAATTCCACCTCATCATTTCTACTGCATGGGACAAGGTTGAGTCAGAGACTGCAGCTCTGCTCAGAACGATGCTCTGCCTTTAGTAAGGCAGTTCTCAATCCTAGCTCGAGTGACAAGGTGCATGGGGAAAAGAGGTTAATAAAGTGTCACTCCATTACCCACTCTCAGCTCATTCTGAGTTAAGCAACTTTACATCACCTGCAAGTTAAAGCTGAGTCTTTTGATCAGGAACATTTGTATGTCAAAATAAAAGCATGTTGCTACACATGCAGTAAAACATAAGCTGACCCTGACTTTTTACACTAACGTGCTAGCTGGCACACATGGCTTCCTTCTAGTTTCACAAAGTGAACTCTCTGCCTGAGCCCGGGACACAGCTAATGCTTAGCCCTAAGCCCAAGGCCCCATGCTGCTCCCAGGCACTCTCAGGGACCCACATTCCATATGCAAAGCATCTATCCTAAAACTGGTTTCTAATGTCTCTTTGGGGGCAAGGTAGGGGAGCATAAAACATTTCTTGGCCTGAAGAGAAGAGAAGAGAAGAGAAGAGAAGAGAAGAGAAGAGAAGAGA